AAAAAAAAAAGAAAAAAGAAAAACAAATATTCAATGTACTCCATACTAATATGAAGATAGTAGATGGTGTAATTCACACCCACATATGAGAAAAACTCGTTTCAATTCAAGTTGGGGGGAGGGAAAAAGAGGGAGAGGGGTAAGGGGAAGAGGAGTTGGGGTGCTCCCACTGAATGGGCACAATGTAGGGGTGTATGGCACACCATTTATGTGCACAACATAGCTACAAGAGGGACTCTACCTAACACATAGAAATATTACGATTTGGTTGTTTGTACCCTCACATTATGCTAAAAAATAAATAAATGCATAAAACAAAATCCACAAAAAGAGTAAAAGACAAACATAGAGGAAAGACAACCCATAAACACAGTAAAAAATGTGGTAGGTATTAAGCTAACTATATCAATAATCACTCTGATGTCAATGACTGGAATGTAACACTTAAGAAAATGAGATTATCAGAGTAAATAAAAAACAAGACTGAATTATATGTTGTGTACAGGAAACTGGCTTAAAACAGACAAACACATATAGACTGAAAGTAAATAGATAGAAAATATTTACCACGTCTACACTAATATAAAGAAAGTGAGAGAAGCTATGTTAATTGTAGATAAAGCAGACTTCAGAGCAATTAACAGGGATTAAGTGGGACATTACATAGTTGCAGGAAAATGGCAAATTAAAACTGACAGACACGTACACCAACAATATAGAGGAAGAAACCTTTAATTGCCGGCAAGAACTCAGGTGCCTCAAGGTGTACATGCTGAGTTCCCTGGAAACAGTTTTTTCCAAACTCTTTTAGACATTTCTTTTTCAGCTCAGTATCAGCTGCATAGTTACAGTTACAACAAAGAATTAATGATTATATTTCTCAAGAAACCAGGGTGCTATATCTTTAAAGTTTGTTATTATCTTTGGAGGAGGAGTTCTTTTACAGCTGCCCTGCTGCATTCTGAGGACCATTGATAAGTATAAGATTTATTTCCCCTTCCCAACATCATGATAGAGGGGACAATTCTCCATGAAGATGCAGCAATCCTTAATATGTAATTCTGACAAAGGCCTGATAACTAGAATCCACAGAGAGCTCAAACTAATCAAATAGAAAAGAACAAATAACCCCATTTCTATGTGGGCAAGAGACTCGAACAGAAACTTCTCTGAAGACCAGCACATGACTTACAAACACATGAAAAAATACTCAACATCTTTAATCAGAGAAATGCAATCAAACCACTTTGAGATATCATCTAACTCTAGTAAGATTAGTCCATGTAAGAAAATCCCCAAATTACAGATGTTTGCATAGATAACGGTGAGAAGGGAACACTTCTGCACTGCTGGTGGGAATGCGAGCTAATATGGCCTTTTTGGAAAGAAGTTTGGAGAATATTTAAGGAACTAAAAGTGGACCTACTGTTTGATCCTGCAATTCCCCTATTATTTACCCAGATGATCAAAATTATTTTACAACAAGAATTTGCACCAGAATGTTTATTGCAGCACCATTCACAATTGCCAAGACATGGAAGCAAGCCAAGTGCCCATCAACCCATGAATGGATTAACAAATTGTGGTATATGTACACCATGGAATACTATGCAGCCATAAAAATGGAGACTTCACATCTTTTATGTTTACCTGGGTGGAGCTGGAACATATTCTTCTTAGTAAAGTATCTTAAGAATGGAAAAACAGTATCCAATGTATTCAATACTACTATGAAATCAGTGTATAATCACCTATACATTCATAGGAATGGTAAACCATAACTAAAGTCCAGAGAGAAGGAGGGAAGAGGAAGGAGAGGGGAGGGAAGGGTAGGGCTGGGAGATGGGAGGGTATTTGGGAGGACTGCACCTAATGTGCATAATGCAAGAATACGTTTCCAAACTGTTAAGAATAGAGTATGAATGTTTTTACCACAACAAATAAGTAAACAAGGAGATGGTTGTTAATCCGTTAGATGTAACCGTTCCACATTATATATCAAATCAACACATTGTACCTCATAAATGTGTTAATGTACAGTTATGATTTAATAAAGAATTAAAAACAACCAAAATTCATCACACAAATACTATCCTAGTGCAATTGCTGTGTAGGTGAGGACAGATTCCTGACTCTTCCTTTTCTGCCAATATCCCAGCGACCCATCCCTGTGGCAGCTGCAGTCTGTACCTGTCCTCCTGAGCACTTGTTATTTCCACCCTCAAGTCAAAGTGCCTCTGTCTACGGTCTCCTCCCCAGCACATGAATTTCCACTGGGCTCCATTTCCCATCCAGATGAGCTCCTCTGCCACCCTCCCTATTCCAGTGAAGGACATCACCCTCTTGCAGGTGCTCCTGTAGGACTCTTGTCCTCATTCTGACTGTCCTTTTCTCTACACCCACAAGTATCAGTGAGTCTTCCAGTCTCTGCCTGCAGCACAGATCCCGAACCTGACCCCAACTCTCCATCTCCACCCGCACTACTCCCTAGTTCGAGCTGTCACCATCTTCAGCCTCTAGTCACCATTACACTCAACTATGTGGTCTCTTTCTTTACATTTAAAAAAATATAACAGCCTATTTTTTTTTTAAATTGAAAATAAACTCCTTATCATGCTTGACATTCACTTCACCATCTGATACCTGGTGGGCTTTCCACCCTCAGTCTGGTCAACATTCCCTCTGCTCCATCCACTCTGGCATCTGCCTGCTCCTTCCAACCAACCAACACACCAGTGCCCACTTCAGAACCGTTGTCAGTTCTGTCCCCTCACCCTATCATGCTTTTCCCCAGGTGCCCTCCCTGGTCAAGTGTCCTATCCTCAGCGAGGCCCTTCCTGACTCTCCCTAGTGAGCAAGTCTGTTCCACATCCATCACTCTCTCCCCTTCCCTACTCATGTTTCCCAGTGAAATGTCAGCTTCTGATGTGCTTTGTCCTCTGTTTAATTTTAATGTTTAGTGTCTAGTGTTTCTCCCTAAAATAACTATAATTTTATAATAGGGACAGTTACTCTGTTCTTCCTTGGTCTTTCTACAACACAAGCACAGTTTTACTTTCAATATTGAGGAGAAGCCACTAAACTTCTGTGACGGTTTCTCCGTCATTATCTTATGTGACTACCCTATTTGTCTAAGTATCACTCTCTGCTACTTTCTAATAACATAATACCCCGATTGTGCTCATTATCTATTGGGAGACATCATTTATACTAATTCTACCAACTGTGGGGGCCTCAGGTTTATTATGAGGGAGAGAAACCCCTTGACACACCCCTCAGCTCTCCCCTGGGGGTGTTAGTGGATGACTGAGATGAGAAAGGGATGAGGAGCAGTGGTGTGGAAATTTCCCCACATTGTCCAAAGGTGGTTGTGTCTTGGTCAGGAAATTCTCAATGCAGTGCTCTTGCAGTGAAAGAAAACAATCTTCAGGCAGTTTATCAATTTGGGTTTTAAAGTAAATATTTAGTCATTATTATAGTGTAATATAAAACACATTTCTTTCTAATCATGCCATTGAAAGTCATCCTAAAAGGGATCTATTGTCTTCTTTTTTAAATGAACACATACTTAAGCATAAATGTTGCATTAACTTATTGTTAATGCAAGACTACAGAATATACAACTCTAGAAAAGGAATAGTACCGCTGACCACTACAAGTATTTAAGCTAATTTTTAACAAAATGTTAATGATTTTAACAAAATATCAATACTAAGAAATATAAATCATGCACTTAAAAGATTAAATAATGTTTATAAAAATTCTCTTGAAATAAAGTTTTAATATGAACAAAAGATCTCTTAGGTATAGCATTTTTGTGGGCTAATGAGAGAATCAGAGCATTCTATGAAGAGCAACAAAGTCCCATATTCCCTGGCATGTCTGAGGAAGTTCCATGTTCTTTATATTTGGGGGAATGAGCCATGGCAAAAGTGACTGCTGAGTCCAGGTGGGAAGGTGGAGGAACTGCACCCAGGCAGGGTCCTCTCTGGATGCACCAGCTTTAACCACCTCACATGGAGTCCAGGTAGGTGACTGCAGCCTGGCAGCTCTGAAGGCCTGAGAGGTGAGGAGTCAACAGTTCTTTGTAACATCCAGGCCCACTCCTGGGCCAGACACTAGCAGGGCTTGGCTCCTGCCTCCTGGCAGGGCGGGAAAGCCCCTCCTGGTGCTTCTCACGAGCTCTTGGAGGGACCGC